ACGTAGGGTCTTGCTATGTTGCCCAGGCTGGCCTTGAACTCCTGGGCTCAAGCAATCCTGTCTCAGCCTTCCAAGTAGCTGGGACCATAGGCACTGTGCCTGGCAAATTACTGATTCTTAATACAGATGTAATAGGTTTTCAGAGGAAAGGAATGTTTCTGGGAAAGGCGTAACGAAAGAAGTTGGCTTAAACTTTTGAAGGATGAGTTCAGGTTGAACAGACAAGAATGGTAAAGATAAGACAATGGGAGCTAGGGCAGGGGGTAGGTGTAGGGGCAGTTTATATTACAGCTTGGATGTGAAACTTAGTGTTATAAAAAGATATGCTTGGCTGGGCTGGAAGGTCGCGTGGTACTAGTGAGAAAGAGGTTGAATAGCTCCGTTGAGACAGAATAGTGAAGATCCTAATAAGGCAACTTCCTCATTTTCCCATGATAATAATTAATAATTGCTTCTCTGTTCCATAGGACTATTTTTTCTACCATTGTCTTAGCCCCTCACATTTAACAAAAGTAGACTTTAATTTTTAGAGCAGTTGTAGGTTCACAGCAAAATTTAGAAGAAAGTACAGAGAGTTTTCATATACTCTCCATCCCCTACAAGTGTAGCCTCCCCCACTATCAACATTCCCCACCAGAGTGGTAAGTTTGTTATAATTGGTGAACCTACACTGGCACATCATTATCACCCAAAGTGCATGGTTTGCATTAGGGTTCACTCTTGGTGGTGCCCATTCTGTAGGTTTTGAAAAATGTATAATAACGTGAATCTACCGTTATATAAAATAGTTTCATTGCCCTAAAAATCCTCTGGGCTCTGCCTTTTCATCCCTCCCTCTCTCCAACCTGTAGTAACAGCTGATCTTTTTACTGTTTCTATAGTTTTACCTTTTCCAGGATGTTAGAGTTGGAATCAAACAGTATGTAGTCTTTTCAGATTGGCTTCTTTCACTTAGTAATATGCATTTAAGGTTCCTCTGTGTCTTTTCATGGCTTGATAGCTCATTTCTTTTTAGCACTGAATAATATCCCATTGTCTAGATGTACCACAGTTTATCCATTCACCTACTGAAGGACATCTTGGTCGTTTACAAGTTTTGGCAATTATGAATAAAGCTACTATAAACATCTATGTGCAGGTTTTTGTATGGGCCTAAATTTTCAACTCATTTGGGTTAATTTTGCCCCTGACTTTTCACACACTATAGGTGCTCACACACTCACACACCTGCCACCCCCATCTTAAACTTCCCATATAGATTCACTATGGTCCAAGAACTGCTAAAACTTGCTGACCACCAGATGCTCCCTGGTCCCTTTTTGGGAATTAATGGATTAATAGGGAGAGTCTATTTCTTAAAGAAAATACATGTGCAGTTAGTGGTAAATGAGATCATTTTAGGCACTATACTTTTTTTTTTTTTTTTTTTTGAGACAGAGTCTCGCTCTGTTGCCCATGCTCGAGTGCCATGGTGTCAGCCTAGCTCACAGCAACCTCAAACTCCTGGGATCAAGCAATCCTACTGCCTCAGCCTCCCGAGGAGCTGGAACTACAGGCACATGCCACCATGCCCGGCTAATTTTTTCTATGTATTTTTAGTTGTCTGGCTAATTTCTCTCTATTTTTAGTAGAGACAGGGTCTCGCTCTTGCTCAGGCTGGTCTCGAACTCCTGACCTTGAGCGATCCTCCCTCCTGGGCCTCCCAGAGTGCTAGGATTACAGGTGTGAGCCACTGCACCCGGCCAGCACTATACATTTTTAATAGTCATTATATATATTAACATAATACATATATTGCACTTTAAACCTAAGATTTCACAGATGTTACTTAAAACAAGGTTAAGTTTTTTAAAAATTAGTTGATAATGAAAGTAATTTAAGTGAAAATATTCTTTTCTCTATGTTTTTATTCCCATTTACTCTTCAACCCATTCTAGGATGGTTTATGCCCAGCTACTTGACTGAAATGACTCTTGTCAAGATCACCAATGACCTTCATATTGCCTAATCCAGTCTTCTCTGTGCTTGTCTTTCTGAATTCAATATTATTCCTCAAAACACTTTTCTTTCTTGGCTTCTATGATATCACATTATACTGGTTTTCTTCCTATTTCTTTGGCTGCTGCTTCTTAGTCTCCTTTTATAAATCTCCTCTCTTCTACTTTAAATATTAGAGGGCCTCACTATTAAATCCTGGGCCCTCAGCTCTCACTAGAGTTTCTCCCTAGGTGATCTCATCAGTTCCATAGCTTTAAATATTGTATTAAGCTGATGATTTCCAAAAGTACATCTAAAACATAGAACTCTCACTTGAGTGCCAGACTCTGTTTAAATGTCTAATAGATAGTTTGAACTTACCTTGTCTAATGAGGAGTGTTTGATTTCCCCACCCCATCTGGTTTTCCCCATCGCAGAAAAAGGCACCACCATCTACACATTTGCTCAAGCTAAAGCCTAAGATTCATTCATGGTCCACCTCCCTTTTCCCTCATCAACAAAGTATGTCATCTCTACCTTCAGAGTGTTTCTAACTTTTCTTCTCCCTCTCCTTCCCACTCTCTCCTTCCCTCTCTTCTGCCAACATCTTGTCATCATTTATTGACTGACTATACTAATGCCTGGATTGTTCTCCTATAAACCATTCTTTCCAGAGCAACCATTTTGGTCTTTATAAAATAACGTAAGTCATGTTACTCTCCTGCTTAAAACCCTTCAGTGACCTCCCTTTATCCATATGTTAAAATCCTGACCCCTTAGAATGGCGTACAACAAGCCCTTATGCTTTCTGACCCCTGCATTCCTCTCCAGCCTCATATCAGACCACCCTCTGCCAGGCCCATGACATTTCAGCCACAGGCTTCTGTTTGTTCTTCCAGCACAGCAGACTCTCCCAGTGTCTGGACTTTGCCTTCTTCTTCCCTTCGTCTGGAATATACTTCCTGCAGCTCTTCACGTGACTGATTTCTGTTCACCATTCAGGTCTCCATTGAAAAGTGACTTCCACAGAGCCTTGTTAAAGTAGAAGTTTAAATTTAAAGCTACCTTCCCCCACCCAGTCTCCCACCATCTACACTTTTGATCATATTTTCCTGTTTTATTTCCTTTTAGAACTCATCACTCTCCGAAAGTGTATCCTACTTGTTTATGTACCTGTGGTCTCTTTCCACTAGAATCCTCGAGAGTGAGGATCTTATCTGTTTGTTATCACTGTTCCCTTAGCACTTAGAATACTGCCGGCTACATAGAAGACCCTTCATAAATATTTTTTGAGTGAATGAAGGAATTTCATCTCCTCCATGCTGTAAGGTATTTGAGGTCAGAGACTATCTTTTTCAACACTGTACCCCTGCTCCTAGTGTGGTGTCTTACCACATTACCAACAACTTAATATTTTTAAGGTTGGGCTTATTATATTATTATATTTTATATGTAGTAAAAGTCACCCTTTTTAATTGCATAGTTCTATGAGTTTTGACAAATGTGTACAGTTGTATAAATAATACCACAGTGAGATATAGAACATAATAAATGTTTTCTTTTCAATTAACAAGTGAATCACTTGTTAGTCAGGAAACAGCCATAAGTATCTGTGCTTCATGGGCGCTGCCAGCTGTTACTAACATAGCTCATCTGTCATGCAGGTGAACGGGAGGTTGGAACAGAGGCGAAAATGCTGCTGTTGGCCCGGGAAGATAAGAAGCTTCAGTGCTTGGGACTACAGAGCAGGCAGCCGGCAAGTGGTTCCTATACGACCTTTTAACTCTGAGGCAACCTGAGTCACTCTGATTCGTGGAAAGCTATTTGGAAGCATTTCTCCTTACTCCCTGTGCTCACTTTTGAGCAGGCTGCGTGGGTGAGAGGCAGTACAGTGTGGTGATTAAGAGCGTGGCATTTGAAATAAGGGCAACATGTAAATCTCAGCTCTTCCACTTAATGACTACAACATTGGACAAGCTACTTAACCTATCTGAGCCTCAGTTTCCTTATCACTAAACTGGGCATAATAGGACTTACCTCGTAAGGTTACGTGACAAGGATTAATACTCTACTGCTATGTGACCTTTGTTAAGTCACCTTTCCTCTCTTGGCCTCAGTGTGCTATATGTAAAATGATGAGGCGGTATAGATTTTCTTTATGGGTTTTTTTATTTCTAAGGTAATGTGAAAAAAATCTGAGTAAAGGTCTCATGCATTTAGGGCCCTTGATCAGTTAATGACCAAAACCATTAGTTGAATTTTCTTCCTTCATCCTCTAAAGTTTTGTTGGGTAGACAGTGCCCTTAACTAAATTCTGTCTTCCCTGAGATAAGATTTTTTAAATTTCTTTCTAGCTCCTGTCATCATGATCCAGACAACTTTAATGATTTGGTTTGGCCACAGGGTTTGTTATTTTCGTTTCATCTTGTTATTGTATTGTGCTGGTGTTATTTCCACTTTCAGAGTTTGTTTAGGAACATCAACATTTTTGCTAATATTGCCTTTGCCCTTGCATTGCCGTGCTGGCTTTTACTTCCAAAGGGAAATAAGGAAGTTTTGTTTGTTTTGTTTTTTCTTTTTAGAACTTTGAGGGAGAAATGATCATCAGTTTGAGCTAGGAGTAAGGAATGAATGAAAATCTAAGCTGGGTGCAGTGGCTCACGCTTGTAATCCCAACAACTGGGGAGGCTGAGGTGGGAGGGTCACTTAAGGCCATGAGTTCAAGACCAGCCTGGGCAACATAGGGAGACCCCATCTTGAAAAAGAAAAAGAAAATCTAATAAATTCTTTTTTCAGATGTATGGGGAGAATTATGATTTTTTACATTGCCACTTTATTTAAGCCTGTTTCTTTTCCCACAAAGTACCACCCTTCAAAAGGTTGCTGGAAGTGACATGAAACAAAACTTAAATGCAGGAATTATAAGCGTTTCTCAAATTGAGGGTTATAATGAAAAAAGGGAAAAGAAGGGTTTTTGGTGATGAGGATCCTATGAGACAGTGTGTTGAGGGGTAATAGTTGGAAAACAGCTACCTCAGAGTCTGGTATTACATAACCTGCTCAAGTCCTCAGACAACCTCAGGCTCCTGCAATCCCAGGAGTGCTTCCTATTCAGTTATTGGCGAGTGCCTAGTTTACTGTTTGAGAATGATGAGAGGAGGAAGAAAGAAAATGTCTCTAAAAATAGTGAAATTTTCCCTTTTTTTGGTGCCTGTTTGTTCCTGGAAACAAATTAATCTTTAAACAGCATTTTTGGCTCCTGCTTGTTCCCAGGTGTTCCTCTTTATTGGCTCAGATGCCTTCAACTGCTGTACTTTTCTCTCTGGCTTCTTGCTATTGGCTGGGACACAAGATGGAAACATTTATCAGCTGGATGCGAGGAGTCCAAGGTGAGTCACCATTCATTTGCATGATGCAGGTCTTCTACAGAGTGGAGTTTTTTTTATTGGCTTTTACATTGACTTAGCCTAGCATATTGAATCAAGGGTATATTTTTCCATTTATAGAGGTTTTCCGGTCTGAATTTTGTGATTGTTCTTATTATCCTGGAATCATATTAAAAGGTAATTTGATTCATACTGTCATGATTGTATGACTGTAATGATTGCTTTGGAAATTAAGCTTAAATGTGAACTAACATTTCATTTAGAATGATTGTCTAGAACTTTTAACCTTAAGAAGCTCAGTAATTTTCTCTATGATATTAGACCTGAGCCAGCCTAAGACTGAATGATCATTTTTAGTTTAAGTAAGCCAGCTCTGTTTCTTATTTAGCTTTGAGCAGACCCATCTGAAACAGGCCTTCTCTTGAACTTAAAGACATCCAAAGAGAATCAGTCTCTCTGTTGCAGGATTTAACAGTCTGTGCTTCTGCCCCTTCCCCCTTTGATTTCCTCCCTTTGTTCAACTAATATTTATTGAATGGCTTTTGTGGACACTGGGTTTGGTGCAGGGCACTGAAAAACAGAAATAAAAGATACAGACTCTACTTTTGAGGCACTGGGAGTCTAGTGGTAAAGATGGACCAGTGAAAGACTGTTGTGATGCAGCGAGATCACTGGTCTGACAGGGCTGCCCACAGGGGTGTGAGGAAGCACCAGAAAGGAGAGGGAAGGAGGAGAGACTGCTTCTCCAAGGAAATGAGAGGCACTACATCTTGTTGAGTAGGATGTTAGCAAGTAAAGAAGAAGGGGAGGACCTGGCCTGGGTAGAACCGCGTATATAGAAGCACGAAGGCATGTGAAAGTATGTCACTTTCAGAGGTCGCTGAGTCATTTAGTGTGACAGGTATATACCCTGCAGCTGGGGCGAGGAGTGATGCCAGACAGAAAAATAGGGGGCTGCTGAGGCCTTACCTACCATCCTAAGGAGTTTGGACTTTATTCCAAGAGCAGTGAATAAATTCCACTAGATGGTGACTAGCATACACCTTTTCTTCCATCATTCAAGTTATTTTATTTTTGCTCTCTTTTTTGCCTCCATGGAAATAGGGAATCTCTGATCAGTTTTATAAAGTCACTCTTACATTTATATTAAGTTGATTCTCACCTTTTTCTTTTTCGAGACCTGGCAGTTGTAGTATTTCACGATTAGTCTTAATTCTGTCTAAAAGTTAACATACTGTTAACATTATGTTCACCCCATGTCAGATCTCTCCTAAAAACTCAAGATTTGGGTGGTGACTTAGTTCATGGTTAGAGACATGTTTAGATTTACTCCAAGGTGGTTTGAAGAATTACTTTGATCTGCCAGTTAAAGATCTTGCCAGGAAAGAAACCATATGAATGTTTAATGTTTCTCCACATTTGTCCTGTTTGCTTGTATGTGGTTAGTACTGTCTGTTGAATATAGTCAAACGTTGCTTTTGAAGAAAAAAAGTAAAACTGTCCCTTTTACTCTGAATCCTAGAACTCCAGTGCAGGTCGTCCACAGATCAGGAGCACCAGTTCTGTCCCTGCTGAGTTTCAGAGATGGATTCATTGCAAGCCAAGGTGGGTCCGTGGGCCAATTGAGAGATGCTTCCCTGAAGTTCAATCAGTTAAAAATCATTTTCAGTGCCTGATCTATGGATGGATTGGGGCATGGTCCTCTACAGTTCTTCGGCATATTGTGCTTATCAATAGTGCTTATCACTCTACATTGTGATTGGCTATGTCCTCCTCCATTCCAAGCTGCTTGAGAGTGGTGACTGTGTCGTATTCATCTTGTCATCCCCAGCATTTAGCTCAATACCCACTAAGTCTCTACCCTAAAGGAGCTCACAGTTAGTAAGGCAAACAGATGTGTGAACGTGTGATTGCCATCTAGTTTGACAAGTACTACAGCAGAAGACTGCATGAGAACACGGAGAATAGCTAATTCTAGAGGTAGGAGTGCTGTCGGCAAGGTCTTCAGGGACAAGATGACATGCAAGATGATGAAGATTTCACCAGCTGGAGATGTGAGGGTGGACATTGAAGGCTGAAGCTATGGCGTGTGCAAAGCCACAGATGAGGGAGGGGGCAAAAAGAAGGGAACTAGCATTTACTAAGTGCCTGCTGTGTACTGTGTTTGATGCTTAACTACATATTCTGGGTAAAGCGAGTACCTTGGTCTAGCCAGGACAAAATATTTGGAATGGAGTTTGGGAGTGGGATTGGGGAAGTGGATGGAACAAAGTGTGTATTAAGGGATACCATGGATCCTCACAGGAGTGACGTTGGTGAGGACGACTGGACTGAACTCTCTGATTGCAACCTTCTCTTTAGTTATATGAATTTTCTTTCTGTCGTTTAGGAGATGGAAGCTGTTTCATTGTCCAGCAAGACTTAGACTATGTCATTGAGCTCACTGGTGCTGACTGTGACCCTGTGTACAAGGTACAGGCCTGAGAGGAGACCAGACCTGGGTGATTCTCACCTGGGATTGAGGGCTTTTAGGGGACTGAATCCAGCTACCTTGTGGTCATTAGGAGTAATAAAATACTGCTTATTGTATAAGCAGTGTGGCAGGATGAGAAGAAAAGATTTTGAGTCAAAAGTGACTTCATCACTTCCTTTAAATGTCACTTCACCTCCCTCGTCTGTCATTTTATCTGTAAAATGAGGATAGTAATGAGATAATGCATTTGGAAGCTCTTTCTAAATATAAAGTATTCTATTCATATTATCCATCATTATTATTAAAAGTTCAAGACTGATTCATTTGATTAGAGTGGGAAAAAAACAAAAGGGTATTTATTGATCAGATATTGTGCTAAATGTTTTATATGTATTATCTAATCTTTGTTACCATTTGTTAAGGTGTAGGTATTCCCATTTTTTCTTATCATTTTTTAAGTTATACAATTTACCTATAAAAATTCAAAAATACAGAATTATACCAATTTAAAAGTCTCCTTTAAGACCTTTTTAGTTCCCCTCTTTCCAGAAGTAACCAGCATTAACAGTTTGGTACATGTCCTTCAAGACTGTTTTCAGAGAATATGCACATTTGCATCTTTATATATTTATATAAATAATACAGTTTTATCTCTAGTTTGTCCATATTGGGATCATTCTCTATATATTGCCATGTGATTTTGTTTTTGTTTTTGTTTTTTTTAAATATCTTGGAGCTCTTTCCAGGTAAATAAATAAATAAATATGTATATACACATGTATATTATATGTATCTCCATTTCATTTTTTAAAATTTCTTCATAGTGTTCTATATTGTGAATTAAGATATTTCTGTTTTGTAATTGAGGAAACTGGTACCCAGAGGTGTTGAGAAAGATACCCAAGGTCATGTAGCTATGTGGTAATAAACCTGAGATTAAGTCAGCTTCAGAATTCATGCTATTTTCTTTGAAAAGTTGAGGAAATCCTCCTCAGAATAAAAGGCACATATTCAGAACTTTTTCGCATCTGATTTTATTAATATGAGTTTCAGGAATACCCAAGCCCGCCTGTGGCTCCTGTCCTCCCAGGTGCAGACCATCTGTACTAAACTATGAACAACACTAATTCCTTTCCACTTAGGCCGATTAGTTTCTCTCTTCTGTAGTCACAGGTGCCTCCCGACCCTGGCCAGCAATTTGTAGGCACACACCATGTATATAATTCTCTTGCCTTTGGGATCAGTAAAGCTTGTCAGACTCCCTGGGACTAGTGAGTGGGAGTCAATGATAAGGCTCCCTCTATTTGAAATGGAAGAATCCCAGGCTTCCTTTGAACTGTGAATTCTTGTGTTCCAGGTAGCCACGTGGGAGAAGCAGATCTACACGTGCTGTCGAGATGGTCTTGTACGACGCTATCAGCTTTCTGACCTCTGAGCCCTTGGAAAGAGGAGTCCCAGTTAGTGAAAATGTTTGATCCTGATCAACAGTGAGCAGAGACATCATCAGTCCTTCCCAAGAACCATGGCCCTTAGTGTCTTGGGCACCCCTTGCAAGTCACAGAAAGTCAGCTGTACTGGCCCATGTGGAACTATCCCAAGACCCGCTTTGAACTGAATAAGAAGCTCACATGTGCTCACTGCATTTGCCCCACCTTCTCCTTGTATAAACTCACCCTAGCAACACAGGGCAAGGATATAGATGCTTCTAGTTTGTTCTTATATCAGTTGTGTTAATTGTTTACAAAGACCAGAGGACTAAAGCCTGTTCTCTGCAATAAATAAAGAAAATATGTTTGGAGGTGCCTGAATTTGAAAAACTTGGTTAAATACTTTTACTCCAGCAAAAAGTCAGTCGAGAGGATGGGACTCCTTCCTCAGCACTCCCTATTGGCTTGGTCATAGAGAAGGACTGCTTGGCAGTAGCAATAAATGTCCTATAAGCTGTGACCTGGGAGAGATTCTTACATAGCTGGTTACCAACTGTACTAGTTCGTCTGGAACTGAGTGGTTTTCTGTGACATGGGACTTTGAGTGCCAAAACTGGGGTAGTTCCAGGCAAACCGACATGACTGATCAGCCTACATGTAGATGAGAAAGTCGAATCACTATCATTGTAAAGGCAGTGGCTGTCAAAAGTGTCATCCCTGGAACAACAGCATGAGTATCACCTGGGAACTTGTTAGAAATTCTTGGGCCCAACCTTAAACCTGAATCAGAAATTCCATGGTGCAGCCAGCAGTGTGTATTTTAACAAGCACTCCAGGCGATTCTGATGCACGCTAAAGTTTGAGGACCACTGACCTAGAGGAAGAGATGTCAAAGGGCACTTCAGTCATAGCTGGAACCCAGAGCTCACAGGATGGCAAGGTTGGTCTGTAGGAGTTGAGGCTGGAGAGATTGGTAGGGCCCAAATAGTGAAGAAGCTTGAATATCTGGTAAGGAGCTTGGACTTCACTTGATTAGCAATGGGAAACCACTGAAGGTTTAAGTAAGGGAGTCGCATGGTCATCTCTTTTTTTCCTTAAATGTAAGGATAGAGTCATAATGTATGTGTTCCATGGTTTATTTTCACTTAAACCATGTCTCTGATATCTTTCCATCTCAGTACATTTAGACCTTCCTCATTCTTTTTAATATAAAATGTCCAGAGTATGGACACCAAATTATTTATATTTTAGAGATTATTAGAGAAAGGTTTCTTGGAAGATGCAACACTTGAGCTGGGACATGCAGGGTGAGATTTTGATTTTTTTAAGAGAGGAAGGTAATTCCTGGTTGCGATAATAATATGGTTGACAGAGTTCTTAAAGGTATCCTCTTTATTTTTATAACTACATTGTAACCTGTAAGTGGTGAGACTCAAAGAGATAAAGTGATTTGTCAAGGGTCATAGAAAGCAGGAACTTTTATCTTAATTTTAAATCCCTTTTTTATTTTATTTTATTTTTTTTAATTGAGACAAGGTCTTGCTCTGTTGCCCAGGCTAGAGTGCAGTGGTATCATCATACCTCACTACAACCTCAAACTCCTGGGCTCAAGTGATCCTCCTGCCTCAGCCTCTCAAGTAGCTGGGACTACAGGCACATGCTATGACTCCCGGCTAATTTTTCTATTTTTGGTATAGACAGGGTCTCACTCTTAACTCAGGCTGGTCTCAAACTCCTCAGCACAAGCAATCCTTCTGCCTCAGCCTCCCAGAGTGCTAGGATTACAGAAGTGAGCCACCTCCCCCAGCCTAAATCCCAGTTTTTTCTAAAACACCCTGTTGCTTATGTCTAAGCCAAAGGGTAAAAAAAAATACTGCAATTCATTGAGTATCTAGTGAGTGTTTACTCTTCTAGGCACTATATTTATATATTTAATCCTCACAACACTCTTAAAGGAAATTGAGGCTCTAGAAATTAAATACCACATGTGAGTAAGAGTTCAAAACCCACAGCCAGCAACGTCAAGAATGGGGCTGCTTCCCCAATCAGGAAGAAGATGGTGGCCAAGGCCCCTCAAAGGGCAGCTGCCCAGGGGTCTAGGGAGGGACCAAACACCAAGGCAGCTTCTGCTCAGAGCAGTGGGTCCAAGATGGCACCTGTATGCCTGGCCAGGAAGACAGGCCCCCACTGGCCCAGGAAGGCCTGCGCTGCCTGGTAAGGCCTCAGCACCCAAGGTGTCCAGCAAGAGGGCTGAAGCCTAGAACCAGAGGTGGGGGTGGAGAGAGACTGAGACTTTGCTCAAGTTTTTATTACTCAGCAAACCATGCTGTATTTACTAAATTGTAACCTATTTATCAATAAAGACTTTTGTTTTTCCTCACAAATTAAAGAAAAAAAAGAAATCAAATACCAGAGACTTGATTTAGACCTTGGTGGGTCTCCAAAGACTGTGCTCCTTCTACTGCACCGTGTAATGAAAGCAGGTAGCAAGAGCCTTCTACGACTAGAGCAATTTCCTTTCAAGGAGTGTTACTTGATAGGGTCAGGTAGACCAGAAGGGACGTATTCCGGAGCTTAGAAACGTTGAGTTCCGGGAGGTGCAGGTGGAAGCTCTAAGAAGTCAGATTAGGAAAACAGGATGAGCTGTTGTCAGTTGTATGTGGAATCTAAAACAACTGAACTCAGGGAAGCAGAGAGTATTAATAGAACGGTGGTCACAGAGGCTGGGGGCAGGAGGAAAATGGGGAGATGATGGACAAATGGTATACGGTCTCACACAGGAGGAATGCGTTGCTTTTTGACATCTATTGCATAGTGTGGGGAATAAAGTTAATAATAGAATATTGTACATTTCAAAATTGCTAAAAGTAAATTTCAAATGTTCTTAACACAAAAAATGTTAAGCATTTGAGGTGATGGATATGTTAAATAGCTTGATTTAATTATTCCATATTGTATTCATAAATCATAACAGCACTTTGTACCACATAAACGTATACAATTATAAATTGCCAATTTACAACAAAAAATAACTTTTTTTAAAAAAAAAGTAAACAGCATGAGGGAGGATATAGCTGAAAGCACAGAGCAACTGAACGTCTCCAAATTGCCGTTGCAGGGCTCACTTTTCTAAGTTGCCGTCACATTCATGAGCCCCTTTCACGGGTCTCCAGAGTGACGTCTTGGTTGTGACATATGTAGTGACCCTTGACAGCTGCTCTGCAATCCAGACCCAAACAGAAGGAACAGAGGCCAGCTCTCAAGGGCTCCGTAACTTTGTCTCCTGTGAATGGAAGAGGCCCACCTTTCAGCAGACAAAGCTTTTTCTTTTTTCTTTAGGGTTAAGGAGTGCATTCTGGGTAAGGAAGGGGAATTCACAGCGCTACAGTGAACTTCCGCGCTAGACCTTGTTTCTTGGCTTTCGGATGCCCCCTTGTGGCGTCTTGTGAGAAGTACCTCTCTCTCTCTCTCAGACCTGAACAGCTGGCAGCGTCGTCAGCTGTTGCGCACGTACTCTGTGCCAGGCACAGGCCTCACACTGTCCTCACAATAGGTAAAGATTTCTTTGTTGGCAGGACATAGTGGCTCAGGCCTGTAATCCTAGCACTCTTGGAGGCCGAGGCAGGAGGATGGCTTGAGGTCAGGAGTTTGAGACCAGCCTGAGCAAGGGCAAGATCCCGTCTCTACTAAGAATAGAAAAATTAGCCAGGTGTGGTGGCATGTGCCTGTAGTCCCAGCTACTCGGGAGGCTGAGGCAGGAGGATTGCTTGAGCCCAGGAGTTTGAGGTTGCAGTGAGCTATGAGACGCCACTGCACTCTAGATGGGGTGACAAAGCAAGACTCTGTCTCAAAAAAAAAAAAAAAAAAATTACAATACAGAAATGGGGAAAGTAACTTTATGGTGGAGAAACCTGACAAACACTACCTCAGCCAGGTGATCAAGGTTCACGTCATCAGTGCCAAGTCATGTCGCTAGTACCTTTGATATGCTGTGATGAGAATGGTACTTCACCTCTGTCGTCTTCCTCCCAAACCCCCAAACCCCAGTCTAATCATTAGAAAAACAGTAAACAAATTCCATTAGAGGGACATTCTACAGAATACCTGACCATTTCCTCTTAAACTGTGAAAGTCATCAAAAACATGGAAAGTTTGAGGAACTGTCGCAGCCAAGAGGAGCCTAAGGAGATATGACTATCACCTAAATGTAATATCCTGGATGGGATCCTGAACAGAAACAATGGCATTAGGTTAAACACCAGTAAATCTGAAGAAAGTTTTGGTCATTAATGTGACAAATGTACCATACTAACATAAGATGCTAATAATAGGGGAACTTGGGTGTGGGATATATGCAAACTCTGTACTATTTTCTCAACTTTTCTGAAAATCTAAAACTATTTTAAAATAAAAAATTATTATTTTTTTGAGACAGGGTCTAACTCTGTCTCCCCTGCTAGAGTGCAGTGGTGTCATCATAGCTCACTGCAGCCTCAGACTCCTGGGCTCAAGTGATCCTCCCGCCTCAGCCTCCCAAAGTGCTAGGATTACAGGCCTGAGGCACGACATCCGGCCAAAAAATTTATTTTAAAAAATTAGTCAATGCATTTGTTCTAAAAAGTTTTAATTGCAGCTAATGCTGCTCTCCTTAAAAACAAAATAAAACAGGGCTCTATGACACTCCGATTTCTGAGCTGAGTGACCATATTCAGGGTCACAGAATCAGCCCCAGTTCTCCCAATTGTTTCCTTTGCTCTTGCAAGAGGCAGAGATGGGATGGCGGTTTCCTTGGGAAGGCAGGACTACAACTCCCAGAGTGCCCTTGTGGGGTTGTCAGGAGCAACAGAGGAACGCAGACTAACAGCCCTGCTGGGGTGTGAGGCCTAGCCACAGACTCACTGCCAGCCAGACATGGGCCAAGATTACTACTCTGTGCTCCAGATCACTCGCAATGCAGAGGATGCCCAGATCAAGAAGGCGTAAGTTGCGTGGGAGCCAGGCCTTAGGGGTATGCTGGGGCGGGCCCTGCCCTCATCGCTTCCAAACCGAGCTCTCTTAGAGCTCGCAGGTAAACCTTGCTCATTCTTTGTTTTTTGGAGACAGGGTCTCTCTCTGTCCCCCGGGCTAGGGTGCCATGGCATTGCTTCAGGCTCCTGAGTAACTGGGACTAAAGGCACACACCACCATGCCCAGCTAATTTTTTTTTCTATTTTTTGTAGAGACGGGGGGTCTTGCTCTTGCTCAGGCTGGTTTCAAACTCTTGGCCTCAAATGATCCTTCCACCTTGGCCTCCCAAAATGCTAGGATTACAGGCCCTCCTTTTACTTCTTTCATACGTAGGTCCTGGTTTGGGGCTGGGTCAGGGCCCAGGCTAGAAAATCAGACACCTTAATTCCTCAGTCTGTTCCCAACCCGTCCTGCTCTGTGCCCCATCTCCTCTACTGGGTACCTCAGTTTTCCAGGGTGTGAAAGGGGGACAAAGGAGCCATTTGAACTTCAACCTGAAGATCATGAAGAACCGGAGGACTGTGAACAAGAGAGTGGCCTGGCCAGCTGGATGTGTCATTCTGGCCATCACATAGGTTTTTGGCATTGCCCACTCTGTATTTCTGAATACTTCCATCAGGTCTTAAGGACTCTGTGGTCCATCCCTAAGAAAGTCTAGGACAAAAGTCAGTACATTTTTCCAAAAAAATGTTTTTTAAACAAATATTTATTGAACACCTACTATATGGGTTAAATGCAATAGTAGCAGCTGGAAATATAACTGAATCAGACAGATGTGCTTCCTTATCTCAAGCCGCTTAATTTTGTTGGTGGATACAGATACTGAATACGTCGCCACTACTGCGATGAGTGTTACAAAAGAGGACGTACAGGGTGCTGTGGAAGGTTATACAGGAGGGAGAGGGACCCTTAGGAATCAAGTCAAAAGATGAGGCGTGGCCGGGCGCAGTGGCTCACGCCTGTAATCCTAGCTCTCTGGGAGGCCGAGGCGGGCAGATTGTTTGAGCTCAGGAGTTCGAAACCAGCCTGAGCAAGAGCAAGACCCCGTCTCTACTAAAATTAGAAAGAAATTAATTGGAAAACTAAAAATATATAGAAAAAAAATTAGCCGGGCATGGTGGTGCATGCCTGTAGTCCCAGCTACTCGGGAGGCTGAGGCAGGAGGATCGCTTGAGCCCAGAAGTCTGAGGTTGCTGTGAGCTAGGGTGACGCCACGGCACTCACTCTAGCCCGGGCAGCACAGTGAGACTCTGTCTCAAAAAAAAAAAAAAAAAAAAGATGAGGCGCGAAGCAGGGCAGTGGGCTGGAGAGAAAGGAGAGAAGGGACTTGGCGATAAAGCAGATCATTGGAGGGTAAAGAAAAAAGGAGTCGAGGATAACTCAGTCTCAATGAAGTCGGGCAGTGAGAACAGCTACACTTAGTGTGTGGGTGCTGTTCTGAGTGCTCTCCGTCACTGTTTCGTGTAATCCTCACAACAACCCCGAGAGGCAACTGCAGTTATTATCCCAAGGCCACGCACCTAGTAAGTGGCAGGGCCAGCATTCAGACACCACAACTACTGACTGGGGGCGCATCGCGGGCCAGGTCCTGGAGGGGATCTAAGAGGGGTAAGTGGAGAGTCTGCAGTGCGGTTGCAGAAACAAGACACAAACCCAAGAAACAATTCAAGAACAATTGTTCTGGAATGTCATCTGCTGTTCAGGGATCTCACCAGTAGGACCCGTCTAGGGAAAGTTCCCAGGAAGGAGGCAGTTGACGCGCAGAAGGTAAGCACGGCTTCGGCTTCGCTTTGGAAAGAGCTGGATGTGAATCCAGGCTCCCTGCCTGCCAGCTGTGTGCCCTGGGCAATTACTTAAACTCTGTGAGCCCAAGTTTCCCCACCTCTAAAGTAATGATAATAATAAAGATCGCTGTGGTATTAAAATAGGATTAGGTGAGACAATGTATGTGAAAATGTCCCGCAATCATTTGCATGTGAAAGAATCCATGTCACGTAAAGAGTGAAAGAACTGCGTATGTTTCAAAAAATAATCCTTAACCCTTCTCCCCTGCAGCAACTTTTTGTTTTTTGCAATGACACTTAAGAGGTGAGTCACATGTAAGACATACTCTCCCATGGGAGTATCTGGATATTGACCAAAAAATTGCTAAACTTGTGTATGGAAGAAAAGCACCATGCTAATTCATAATTGCGCCGGCTTCATAATCACAGTGTACGAGCTGTGACACCGCCCCTTCCTCTCCTCTTCAGGAAAGCCAAGTGTACGAGGTGATGTCACTGCAGGGATAATTTTGAAACCACTCAAATTTCCGTGTAAAACTAACTAAACTCTTCTCAAACCTTTCTACTTCTACTCATTGATAGAATTTACTTGCAATTATAACTGGTCGCGAACTTTGTAATTGAGACGGGCCGTTCACTGCAGTCTCTGAAGGGAGACGTTCCCTCTGCAAGGCCCCCAGGGCAGGGCCAGGACCCTTAAGGATGGAGGAGAGTCGCAGGACAGCAGACCCCGCTCAGTAAGAGGGAGCGTTGCCTAAAGGTCAGCGCTGTCCCACAGCCAGCGGGGCTGCCCTGCAGGACAGTGAGCTCACCTCATTCGTATACTCACTCCTGCTCGGTGCTAGGCACTGGGGACACGGAGGATTGCGCACAGCAACCCCAGGACCTTACAGTCTAGCGGGAGAGACAGACTAGTCAACACACAACTGGAACACAGTGTGCTAAGTACTGGGATCAAAGGCAGTGGGGACTTGGGAGGGGGACTCTGACTCAGAAAGCTGGCAGTCAGGAAGGCACTGGGAGGATTTGGCCCGCAGCTAAATGTTGGAGAAATTTAAAATTGCCAGGAGGAGCTAGGAGGAGCTGCAGAGGGGCGAATGTTACAGGTAAGGAAGTAGCATGTGCGAGGGCACCGAGCAGCACAGCACGGAGAGGTTGGAGAGTGGTGAGAGGTTCGGACCGGGCAGGAGAGGTCATGGGGGCAGGGAGGGAGAATGGAGTTGGGGGGGTGGCCGGGGGGTTGGATCTTAGTGAGACATTCAGATTGTATGCCAGAGACGACAGGGGAGCCCGGTGAATGGTTTCAGCAGGAGGGTGCTTTGGACAGAGAGTATTTTAGAAGCATCGAATTGGAGGGGGTGCGGGAGAGATATCAGGGATTAACACAGCGGCAGCACACAGAGTGGACTGGAGAAGGGACTTCTGGATACAGGCAGACGTGGCTCTGCAGTAGTTGTAGGGATAAAGGAGCAGGAACAGAACACTGTTTAGAAGGAAAGACTGACATGACTTGGTGACTGATGGGGTGACGGTGGAGAGGACAAAGGAGAACTTGGGGTCAAAGGCAGCGCTCACATTTCGCAATGGAAATGTGCTCACGTTGGGGTTCATTGAATTTATGGTGCCTGTGGGACGTTGGAGAGGAGATAGCAAGTGGGCAGCTGGATATGGAACTTTAGGGCTAGCGAAGGGGTCTGGTGTGAGAGACAGATAGGGGGGGCATCAGCCCTATGAGCGGCGACCTTGCCCCCAGAGAGTGTGTGGAGAGAAGCCACAGAACTCTGGGGACACCAACATGGCAGGGGCGGGCAGGGGAACAGGAGCCACACTCTGACCCCACTGAGGCTAAGACTGTGACTTAGGAGTCCATGCTGGATGTCTTCCCTTTGGCCTCCAGACCCACTCCCACCCTTCCCCGCCCACTCGTCCCTGCTGGGGGAAGCTGATCTTCCACGGCACCTGCAGGCTTCCTTGCCCTCGGGCTTCCTGCCACATCCTGCCCAAGGGGAGCGCAGCCGGATCAGGAGGGAAGAGAGTGGAGCCGTGGTCTTTATTCCCCAGCTCCCTTCCTATGGGGTCTCTTCAGGTTGGTTATGTCTCTTGAGGGAAGGTCACAGCCCCTGCCAAGGGTCCTGTGCACACACTCTCTCCTTCCAGGTTTCCTCACTCCGACAGGCTCAGGGCGCCTCAGGGTTCCCAGGTACTGGGCTGTCCCTTGTGGTCTCCCTCCCGTCTTTCTGAGCCTTGGAGAATGGTCCCTTTATTAAACTGTCCACTAACCACCCAGTCCATGCCCTCTCTTCCCCCCTGGGACACTGACGATACATCCCCAGATGCTGTGGGTTTCTCGTCACTGATGGGACTGGGCAGAAACAGAAGTGGGGAAGAACGAGCACAGAGGTGGCTGGGGGCAGCCAACGTCTGACAGGCGTGAGGGCCTCGCTGTGCCAGACCCTTTGCACACCCGACTTGATCTCACGCTCCCAAGAGGCTGTGTGTCAGTTCTGGCACACTAAGAAGCGGAGGGATTAGACGTGGGATGAGACGTGTGTGAAATGTATGGGGGGTACCCCTGTGGAAGAGGAAGGGGAGGGAGCAGGAGTGTGCAGGGACAGCCTTCAGAGCACAGTGCAGGCCTGATACCAGCGACAGAGAAGGGGGCTTGGGTGGGAGAGCTGGGGTGTGACCCAGAGAAAATGTCAGCCAGGCTAGAGGGGAGTCCTCAAGCAAAGGTCGCCACTGGAGGTGTCCTGTGTCCTGCAGGAATGGGCCATCCCTGATATCCCCACCACGCTTAGGCACTGGCTAGGGCAGCTTGGGGGAAGCGTAGCCTCCCCACAAATACCCAGGGGGCAGCTGGTGAGACAGTCACATTCCCTACACCAGGTAGATCTGAGCGATGCACCTCCACGGCCACCTCAGCCTGTGAAGACAGCCCTGATTCATAGCTGGGCAGTAGACACCAGCGCCAGCACTGAACTCTGGTCTGCCCCCCAGAAACAGGTCAGCTGTTACAACTTGTATCACCCTCCCTCCTCTAGGTACCGCAAACTCGCCCTTAAGAACCACCCGTTGAGGTCGAATGAGCCATCTTCAGCAGAGACATTCAAGCAGATAGCAGAGGCCTACGACGTGCTGAGTGACCGTGAGTGACTGTGGGGCTGAGCAGGAGGGCTCACTCCAGGAGATCTCTGTTGCCCACCCTTCTGTTAACATTGTTAACATTGTTTCTTAAGTCGCTAAACAGCTGGGTTTTCTGAGGGGGCCTAACAGAGAGCAAACATCCTCTTCCCTGCCTAGAACCTAGACAAACAGAGGAAACAGTAAAGAATTGCCTTTCTCAGTAGACGCAAGTTGGAGGACGTGGCGTGTGGGGTCCAGGATTCGGCTGAGGTGCTCACCCAGTCAGGGCATTGCAGGAGCTGGGCTGTTCCGCATCGCCCGCCCATGCCCTGCAGGGCCAGAACCTTCTTGGGGGGGCAGAGTGAGGTGCCTGCTCCGGAGGGGAAGAAGGCGAAGCTGGGCAGGCGCCGTCCTTCCCAGACTCCCCCAGTGCTTGAGTCTCCATCTCCCCAAGGCCAGCAGGAGTAGGAAGGGGCAGAGAAAGGCCAGGAGTAGTTAGATGTCTCTTCTGTGGAAACCAGCAGAGTGGGTCCACAAACCGCAAAGCCCATGCCATCTCTTGGCATCACCCGCCCCAACGCTGGGCAGTGGCCGGGGGGCTTTCCTGAGGGCTTGTGCTGGAGACTGTAATCTCGGCTCCTGTGCAGAAGTACAGCTAGATCACTAAGGTTTCTCCAGCCCCGAGTTTTCAGGACTTCAGAGTCCTTAGACTCTAGGATTTCAAAGCTCCAGGATTTGGGGGCTCTAGAGTTCTTAGATTTTAAAATTTCAAGGTTCTAGGATTCTATTTACACCAGATAAGACAACGTCTATGATGACCGAGTTAGGCCAAATCCCACGGCTACAGCCTGAATCTTGGTCTCTCAGTTCTGCCCAGCAAACACCTGTCTTTCCCATCTCTCTTCTGACTGTACTGGTCATACCGGGGTCCACCCAGAATGAAACCGAACCCCTAACTCTAGGGTCTCATTCCGAAGACTGCCAGACAGCAGGCACTTGGTTTCCTTTCCCCACGTCCTCCTGCTTCCCAGCCCCGTCCATCTATCTGGCCCCCAAAGCTGGACCCTCCTCAGAGTGACACACATCCACAGCTGTGAAGAGAAGCATCTATGACAAATTTGGAGAGGAGGGCCTGAAGGGCGGGATTCCTTTGGAGTTTGGATCCCAGACCCCATGGACAACTGGTTACGTCTTCCACGGCAACGCTGAAAAGGTTTTCCACGAGTTCTTCGGGGGAGACAACCCCTTCAGTGGTAAGAGGTCTCACCCCACCCCTTGCCTTACTGGGAAAGGACACAGCTGTAAAATATGCTTCTGAGTAGTTTCATTTTTATTTTTACTTTAAAATACATATATATTATATATATACACACATACACGTAATATATAAAATACGTGGTAAAAAAAAAAAAAGTAAAACAGAATTTATTGAAAAAGAAATTCTAGCCCTCCATTTCCTTCCCCAGAAGTGGCCACCCACTGTTAACAGTTTATGTATCCTTCCAGAAATTTTCTACACATTTACAAGCCTATATTTATTTTTATATAAGCCTTTTATTTTGTTATGGAAATAGACTACATTGTATACATTGATTTTTTTTAAATTATATCTTGGAGATTATTTTATATATTATATTTTACATATACTATATACAGATCTACTTTATTCATGTATATGCAAATCTATGTACTATGTATGAGTCAGGGATCAGTTGCAGAAACAGATACTGTTGTAGCCATGCAAAGCCAAAAGGGGTTCAATACAGGGAATTAGGTGTTTAAAAAAATCATTCGGTGGTCTGAGTGAGAGGGCTGCAGCCTGGGGCTTCTAGCGGTCTTGGGCTGGGCTGGACGGCGGAGGGGAGTGGAGCCCGGGGACGGGGAGGGAGGATCGAGGGCGCTCTCGACCCTCCCCGCCCACAATTAACAGTCTTTTCCGGCACCGCCAGGCGCTGCCGCCAGAGGGCGCGCCTGTCCTTCCTGAGACAGCCGGAGTTCCGGTGTCCATGCTGTCGTGGTTTGAGTCAGGGACGTGGCGGATGTCCCAAGTGGAGGTGAAGCGGGTGGGGGTGTGTGTGTGAAAGGAATGATAAACACTGGATCTGCAATTGAGGACAGCTTTTTAGCCTGGCAGTCTGAGTCTGAGAGGTGGTTATGGGATGCCGGGCATTACACTGGGGGCACTTAAGAGGTAGAGGGGCGGGGATGCGTGTGTGTGTGTGTGTGTGTGTGTGTGTGTGTGTGTGTGAGAGAGAGAGAGAGAGAGAGAGAGAAAGAGAGAGAGAGAGAGAGAGAGAGACACTGCGAATCTAAGTCTCTGAACACAATTTCTCTTTCTCCTCTCCCTATCTCCTGCAGAGTTTTTTGATGTAGAAGGAAGTGAGGTGGATTTGAACTTTGGAGGGCTCCGGGGCCGAGGTGTCAAGAAGCAGGACCCCTCAATTGAACGGGACCTCTACCTGTCCCTGGAGGACTTATTCTTTGGCTGCACCAAAAAAATTAAGATCTCACGAAGGGTGAGTACTTGGCTTCCTCCTACTGGGAGCCGTCATCTACCCCTGCAACCCCACCAGTCACTTCCTCCCTTACCCTAACTGGAGGGCTCAGGGATGATCCCTTGTGGAATTTGAAATCTTAGATTCAGAGACCTAGGATCTTAGAATTCTTGAATCTGAAATTTGGTAGGGACAATTGTGAGGGTATTAGCCTGGTTCTCTGGTAGTGTAGGAGTCCCCCCTGCAGCCTTCCTAACTGGGGTGACATCATCCCCTTTCTCTTTCTTCCTTAAGCCTCATCCCTGTGGGAAGTGTCTCCTGTGAATTCTGCCCTGGGCGTTACCCCACCATAGCCCCAGGGTTTCATCAGAGTGTACAACTCATGCGTTAGAGAGAGCAATGTGGGCATGGAGGATGACTAGTTAAGGAAGACCCTCAGTGCCCCAGAGTTCATTCCTTGGCTTGGCCCTGTCCCATGGCCCAGCCCTGTACCTGGTACAAAAGCAAGGCTTCTGCACCGTTGCCCAGCAGAGGAGATGCCGACGTGGCCATGCTTTCCACAGATGCATCCAGCTGGGTGTGCAATTGGGGAATGGGTGGATGACATAATTGGGGAAGGATGGGGTGAAGCTCAGAAATACTGACCTCCATGGTCTTTCTCCCTTTGGGATTAAGAGACCTGTCGGAGGCTCGGGGCCAGGCCTCTGGGATTTGGAGAGGGACTGAGTACATTTTCATTGTGTATCTGTTTGTGGCCAGGACTTGAGTTGTGGGTTTGATCAATTCACGGTGACTGCTTGGCATCCCAGGCCTCAGCCCCAGCTCCACCGCATGCCCAGCCATCCTGGAATCATAAATTCTTCGTTCCCATGGCAATAGGATGGGAAGGGACTGGTTCAGGGCAGGTCCTTCCCATTGCTAGAGGATTGAGCTTAAGTACAAATGCCACAGTGTATCATTCATGTGTGCCAAGGCCAACTGGGTGCTCATGGAAACCCGAGCAAACTTCAACTGCTCCTGGGAATCTGGAGCAAACCTCTCCCACACCTGCCACCTCGCTGCAGGTGCTGAACGAGGACGGGTACTCCTCCACCATCAAGGACAAGATTCTGACTATTGACGTGAAGCCTGGTTGGAGGCAGGGCACACGTATCACCTTTGAGAAGGAAGGGGACCAGGTGAGAGGGAGAGAAGCTGACTAAGGTTGTCACCTGGGCTCAGGGGGTGGGAAGCCCGAGGGGAAAGGAGCCAGTGCTTTTTCCTGCCCTGCGAGCCCTCGGCTGGTAGTGCGACCAGTGTGCAGAGTGGGCGAGATGATCCCTAATCTTCCTTCCAAGGAGCCTCACAGTACCTCTGTGAGAGGCTATGCCCATTTTACAGATGGCGACCCGAGGCTGGGGGAGGGATGGGACTTGCCCAGGGAAAGGGCACAAGAACTGAGAGGAGAACCCAGCCGTAACTCAGTGCTCTTCCTGCTTTTCTTCAGTGCTTCTCTGAATAAAGCTCAAGTATAGGAGCTACTCAGAAACTATTTATTAATAATAATTTTAATTATTAAATAAATATTATTTAAATAAAAACATAAAATTATTGACCAAGGCATGCTGAGTCGTTAAGTCCTGAGGAGTGATGGAGTATTCAGAGCCAAGAGACACTGATTCCTCTGCCTGTACTTCTTGCCCCCTTTCTCGCCTATAAAACATCTGCTTCCAAAAACAACCTCAAGTCTCAGCTCCAGTGTCCCCCCTGGCAGCCTTCCCTGACCTCCCCACACGGGTCAGCACCTCCTCTGAGCCCCCAGCCCCTGGGCTTCCCTTTATCGCAGTCTCGGGCATGCTGAGGATCCACTGCGTGTCTCTTTCCCCACTGGAAGCTCCTTGGGGTAGGGGCCAGTCTGATTCCTCTGTCTGCATGCTCAGAAGCGTTTTGGTGACTTAATGAAGTTGGTGAGGGGTGTCCACTCCTGGAGTTATCAGCAGGACCAGAGACTTGCGGGCAATTGGCTGACGCCCAGCTCAGCGTCCTGCCTGCCATCTGAGGAAGCCTCTCCCTCTCCAGCTGCAGGCATCTATTTGGGACATGCTCAGTAGAGAAGTCACTCTGGGGGCATTCATCTGGGTAGGCTTCTCAGAGCAGTGGCTATGGGGGCCAAACTGAATAGGCCCTTCCAGAAAACCTGGTCTAATCTCCCCATCGTACAGATGAAGACAGAGACAAATAGAGGCAGGAAGTTGGCCAAGGTCACACAGCCAATGAGTCCTTGTCACCCCCTTGGCCTCCCCTGCCCAGGGCCCCAACGTCATCCCAGCTGACATCATCTTCATTGTAAAGGAGAAGCTACACCCTCGCTTCCGCAGGGAGAACGACAACCTCTTCTTTGTGAACCCCATCCCTTTGGGCAAGGTGAGTGGGCAAAGCGCAGGAGCAGGGGGTGGGGGGCCAGAGTGAGCCCCACCTGTATTGGCTAGACTTTGCCTCCCCTCCCCCAACCACCTGCCGTCAGTCACTAAATCTCCTCGATTCCACCTCCCACATCTCCCTGCACTTCGTCAAATCCTACACCTGGATCTATGCGCAGGCTCTCCTGCCCCCTGTCATCTCCTGCCCCCTGTCATCTCCTGCAGGCTCTTCTCCTCAGGGATCTTTGCACACTTATCTGACTCTGCCACACTCCTCGACATCTTTGCTCGGCATTCGAGGCCATCTGGCTGCTGTTGGCCTCATCCCCTGCACTCCAGCCCTGTGCCACTTAGCAGCCCTGCCTGTGTGGCGCATTCTCACACCTCCGTTCCTTGTTTCTGCTGGGCCCTCTGCCTGGCGTGCTGCCTACCCACCTCACCCTATAAGCCCTCATCAACTGCTACCACCACTGCTACCTCTTCCTGCCCCGCTCCAGAATGGGTTAGAGGTCCCTCCTTGGCTCCCACAGACCCTTTTAAATTCCATCTCTTTCGTAACACTTTTGTCAACATCAGTCTTACTTGCCAGACTGCAAGCTGCTCAGCTCAGGGTCTGGCGTTGAGTAGGCTCATACATTGGCCTTCTAAATAGGGATGGCCATGATGGCCCTTCCCTGTTCCCACCTTTGGCCCTAACTGTCCCCAGGCTCTCACCTGCTGCACGGTGGAGGTGAAGACCCTAGATGACCGTCTGCTCAACATCCCCATCAATGACATTGTGCAGTGAGTCCATCTTCCTTGGGCCCCAGAAGCCAAGAATAGGGCTGGTCTGGGACAAAGTGGGGAGTGTCTGACAGGTCTGCCCAGTACAGTTGTTCTGTTGGGCTGTAGCTAGCACAAGGGGCCCCTGCTGAGGGGGTGAGAGAGGACTGAAACCAGCCCACACTCTGGCCTAGCTGCAGGCTACACTCACCTGGCAAAAGGAATGCCTTTTCTAATTTTCACAAGCTGCTGCAGGGGCTGGAGGCCCCCAGTGTTGGGTTATTCCGGTTGCCTCCACCCCCCAAACCTCCCATTAGAGCTCTGAGTTGCATCATCCCCTAAGTCCTTTTCCAAGAGAGGCCCTCTGCCCCACCCCAGGGTCTGCTCACCCTCCTTCCTCTCCGTTTCCCATATCTAAAACAAGATTTCTGGAATCCTCCATCAGAGACAGTGTAAACAGGTTTTTGAGGGAGCAAGCTGTTTAGAACAAGTCTCCTCTCCCTCCCACCCAGTTCTGGCTGGTAAGAGCCATTCCAGGTGGAGGCTACAGTTCCCTTGCTGGGGTTCTGTGAGCAGGGGTGGCAGGGACCTGCTGAGGTACTGCTCTGAGGTGCCCTCTAAGCTCCCTTCTTTCATCTTCCTGTCTCAGTCCCAAGTACTTCAAGAAGGTGCCAGGTGAGGGGATGCCATTGCCTGAGGACCCCACCAAGAAGGGAGACCTCTTCATCTTCTTTGACATCCAGTTCCCCACCCGCCTCACACCCCAGAAGAAGCAGATGCTGCGCCAGGCACTGCTGACATGACTGTGGTGGGCTGGGGTGGGGGGGTGGTTAGCTAGATCTTACCTCCCGCCATAGCCTCAGGGTGTGCAGGGGAACCAGCCTGCTGCACTGTGACATGAGGGTGGGGTGGCATGCGGCTTAAACTGACATAATAAAGATCTATTTCCTAAGCTCCAGCTACACCCAGGAGCATGTGTTTCATACTGGCCCTTCTTGTGGGGCTGAGAGAAGAGCAGGGCCTAAGGAGCTGACTGCCTGGGTCCCTGTCCTGGCTTCGTGGGCACAGGCAGACCCCTGAGGGTTCAGTCTCTGAGCTCCCACCTTGGCAGAGTGGGGCAGGGCTGTGTGGGCTCTAAGGGTTCCCGGCTCTGCTCTGACTTTTCATGACAGAGGAGACAGTCTCTGAAGTGTGACATGGTCACATTATAGAGACAGGAAAATGAAAGCACAAAAAGAAAACATTTGTTGCAGGTCACTCAGGGCCAGGAACAAAGCTGTCATCTTAACCTTGAAGACCATTTTCCACAGACTCACCCTGATTAGATTAGAGAGGCTGCACAAAGAACACAAGCTCTGGAAACAGCTGATTTCTACCTCTCTGGCCTCAATGCCCTTGTCTGAGATGAGTCCTGGGCTGTCTCTAAGCAGGGTGGTCTAGGAGGCAGGAAACTGAAGTTCTGGCCCCAGCCCTGGCATTGGCTCCGTGGACCAGTAACTGCCCTTTCTTGTCAGTAGAGCTCATAACCCCCGCCCCCCTCACAACCTTGTTTTGAGGATTAAGTGACATCATTGATGTGAAAGTGCTTGGTGAACTCACTACTTAGATTTCAGGGTGACAGCACTGCTGCTAATGTGGCTTGGAGGAGTTCCAGCCTCCAGGTCCAACTGGGCCTGTGTAGACCACGCCTGCCTCCTCAAAGTCAACAGGACGCATATGCTTCTCTTCTGTGCCGGGGGAAAGGCTCCCCTCTCGAGTCTGAGTTTGGGCTAGGATAGGTCCAGGCTTATGGAGAGTTGGTGGCTACTCTGAAGTAGCTTCAGAGGTGTCAGGAAAGGCCCCATGTCATCCAGACTGCTTGGAATTCTACCATCCAAAAGCACCGTGTTGGCCTCCCTAGGAGCAGGCATGCTCCATCATGCCCAGCTATATTTTTCCATTTTTGTAGAGATGGGGTCTCACTTTTGCTCAGAGCTGGTCTCAAACTCCTGGCCTCAAGTAATCCTCCCACCTCAGCCTCACAAAGTGCTAGGATTACAGGCGTGAGCCACCCCACCCGGCCCACTTCGCCTTGCTTGAGCCTCAGTTTTTCTAAAAATTACAACCCCTATTTTACAGGCCTTTTGTAGAAACCAGATGGGGAGTAAAGCAGACTCTGCTGAGACAGGCCCCAGGTGGAGAGGGGCATTGGAGCTGCTCTGTTCTGAGCAAGCCCTGAGCAGGTAAGGGAGCATAGGGTTAGTGCTATCAAACTCTTGAACTCTTGTCTCCTCCCTCCAGGACAGCAGGAAAGACTGCTCCTTGTGGAATGGCTCGGAAGTAAGCCTGGTCTCAGGCTTGGTGGAAGCCCTTTATGAGATTTCTATTACCTCAGTGATGTCCATGTCATGTGAGTCAGATAAGCAGGGCTTATCATATATGGGCCCACACTAGAGAGAGAAGTGACCTATCCATAACCAGAGTTACTGAGGCCTACTGCTATGTTTACCAGTGGTTCTTAACACATTTCGCAGCTCGTTGTCCCAAGGCCATGCCCACCACGATGACAATTTGGTGGCCTTGTGTCTATCCCAGTGCCTGGGACACAAAGGTGACAGACTGCTCACCCTCACCAGCCTATTGAGCTCTGCTGACAGACATGCCCGGGCAGCAAAGTGCCCCTTTGGCCTGCCTCATGGATTAACGTGAGCATAAAGGCACACGTGGCAGTGACCAGGTCTTCCGTTTATGCCCACTCCCTGAAGCCTGGCAGAAAACAGCCTGGCAGGGTGCCAGTCCACCTCACCCTGGCTCACTGCCTCATGGCACTCAACCCCGTCCCTCCTGGGGACCATGAGGCCTCAGCTCAATTTGTGAGGAGCTGGGAAGGAAGCTGGGGAATCCTGGGCCCTTGTTCCTTCTCCAGGAACCAGTCTAACACCCTGGCCCCCTCACTTAAACACTGAAGGGTGTGGCCTCTGGCTCTGACCAACAGGCTAATGAGGGGAGAGAGCAGTAGTGTCAGCTGCCTTAGGCTAGGGGAAGAGGAGGTCATGTTCTCTGAGCCTGGCTCACAGCTGCCAACAGGCTTCCCCAAGGACCCCCAGCATTGGTCCCTGGAGGAAGAGTCCACAGGGGAGGGAAGAGTCTGAGTCCTAGTCCAGCTGTTGAGTTTCTGGGTGTTCTTGCCTACGTGACCTGTCTCAGGCCTCGGCTTCTTCAGGCACCTACAAAATGGGGTTGGATGACTTAATTCTAAGAGCCCAGCCCTATGTAAGATGCCTCAGGATTCTGGGACCTCACAATCCTCTCTGCCCCTTGAAACAGTAGTAGCCCTGCCCACCTGCTTTCCTGCTTCTGAGGGCAGGTGGTAAGAACAGGGACTGAGAGGCTGAGACCCCTGTGCAGCCAAAGACCCGCTTATGATCTCCTCCTCAGGATCCCTGGCCCAGGGAGAGAGTGAGACTCTGAACAGAAAGAATCCCCAGGCAGACACAGTTGTTTGCCCTGCAGCCTGAGCTGCACCCCTGCTGAGTCAGGACCTGCCCCACTCAGTTCAGTAACACTTCCTCTTCTGGGTGTGACTGTGGAGCGGGGAGCAGCCTGACTTGCTCTCACTAGGCTCGGACTTTGGAGAGGTGGATTTCCCATTTGTAAAATGGAATCAATTAAGTCCACAGCATGTAAGATTCCCAAGTTCCTCTAAATCTTCTGAGACCCTCAGGAGACGCAGGGCAAACAGGAGCACTCTCACCGCACAGATAAACAGCCTGGGGCCATCTGCAGGATTGGAAGGGCAGGCGAGGTGAGAGTAAAAGCCATTGCTGTCTCTCTAGTTGCTCCTGCACTTGCCACCTTAGCCCAGGGGCTGGGTTGGAGAGAAATGGTCTAGAATATATGACCTCCATGGCCCCAGACTGGATGCTGGAGGTGGAAGGTGGGTCATACTCCCTTTCAAAGTCAGGTGGTTCCTCCCCTGCCCACCAGGTGCCATAGGGCCCATTGGACCAAGACCTCTGGTAACAACTACAAGAGAGAGGAGACACCAAGGTTGAGCTTGCTTTATGGGGCACATGCAGGCTGGGCTGGGGGGCAGGACAAATATTAGGGCTGAATTTTTTTAAGGGACTGAGGTTTTAGGATCCTTCCATGCTATCAAATGGGGTCAGCTCCACCAGCACTGAGACAATGGGGAGATGAGGTAGGGAGGAGGTGAGAATGTGGTGAGAGGAAAGGGAGGTAGTAGGAAAAGGAGTGAAGGGAAGAGGTGGAGAAAGAGGGAAGGGAAAGATGGAAGGAGGAAAAGGGAAGCAGGGCCTGGCTGGAGCTGGAGCCAAAGCCAGAGGTGATCAGGTCAGCAGCGGCAGAGGCTCAAAAGGGAGCCTCCTGGGAAGCGCAGGCAGCTGTGAGGGCTCGTTTCAGCTGCTCATAGGTGACAAACATCACCACGTTCCAGGAACCCAAGCGGAGAAAGGAGGGCATGAACCTAGGGGAGAGAAAACACAGGTCACAGCGGGAACTTCACCTCCCGCTTCCCCCACTGAGCCTGGCATCCAATCCAACCCAGTTGCTCTGTCCCAAAGAGGGCTGGGAGGACTCAATGAACTGGGCTTCACAGCTGTGTGGCTCTGAGCAAGAATCCCCTCTGAGTCTCCATTTTAACATCTACAACAGTGATAACAGCAACTCTGGGAGGAAGGAATTAAGAGGATGAGTGAATGCTGGTGAAATAATAGAACCAGGATCAGAAGTAGTTTGACATTTGCCCCTCAGTTCCAGGCGGTTCTCTCCCACCTGTGTGATAGGTATGGGTAGCCAGGAGGCCTGGACTTGGGTGGGGTGGATCAGAGGCTCACCCTTTGTAGAAGGCTCGGGGCCCCTCCTTCTGAAGCATGGTAAGGGCACAGTGGCCTGCGCTGGTGTACTGGCCTAGGGCAGAGTTCATGTATCTCGTCTTGACCACGTCGACAGGGGAGGCGATGACAGTGGTGCAGAAGCCCGCCCCAAAGGCGGAAGTGAAGTGGCAAGGGAGGTCATCTGCCAAGGAGGAGCAGGCAAGGCAGTCAAGCCTCCTTACCCACCATTCCAGAAGAGAAGAGAATTACTGAAGTAGCTAGAGGTTCTTGTGGTTTTAAAGAGACAGACTCCAGCTGGGACTTCTGAAGACCTGAGAGTCATTTTGCCAATCTAGCACCACTCAGTTCCTCAATGTGCAAAGTGGGAGCTCCATCCCAGTTGGCTTCAATATGGCAAGTAAGAGATACAATCTCATTCTCCATGCAAAGGGCAAATAGGATGAAAGGCTGTGGTTTTCAGGTGTCAATCAGACTCCCACATCCACTCCTGGATTGGGGGTTAAGGTGAAACTCAGCATCATCTAACCTAACTCACCTGTCATAAGGTTGGCCTTCAGGAGAGCGTCCTTGATGAGATCATAGGTCACCAGCTCAGCACAATTCACAATGGCATTACGAGCAACATTGGGAGAGGTCCCTATAGGAGGAAGGAGACCTGTGTGAGACCAGGGAACGGGGAGAAGGAAAAGAGGAAGGGAAACAACAAAAGGGTACACACCTTTCCAGAGTCCCCAGAACCCTTCCTCTCGGGCGATGGTCTTGTAGGCATTGACAGTGCTTTGGTATCTCCGACCACCTCCAGCCCGGGCCTGGGCTTGGAACCGGACCTTTACCACATCCGTGGGCTGAGCCACAGCCACAGCTAGGGCACCCGTGGTGCTGCCTGCTAGGAGGCGGCTCCAAATGCTGGCATCTATGAATGAACCATGGGGGTCAGTAGCCAGCTGGCTTGTACCTCATCTCTCCTCTCCCAAACCATGTCATTATCATCTCCTGCCTTTAATAGGGTCCAGACAAGCTCTTGTTCTAAGAACTCCTCATAGTGAACAAAATATCACTGTGAATGTCTACTTGCTAGGGACACAGCAGAGTAAAACCAAAATGAGATTTAGTGCTTTCTTTCATAAAACATTTTCATTTAACCTGCTTAACAGTCCTCAGAAATCAGAATCATTTCCATTTGACAAATGTGAAAACTAAGGCCTAGAGAGACATGGCTTCCTGATGGACTGGGACTCTTAAAACTTGGGTTCTCATCCCAGATCTATTTTTTCCTGCCACGTGAATTTGGGAAAGTCAACCTTTTGTTTGGGACTCTCAGTTTCCTCATGTGTAAAATGCAGGATTGGCATGGCATGCTAGGGAGGTGAAATGGAAGAATGCTGCCTTGGAGGCAAGAGTCCTGGGTGTGTTTTCTGGCTTCCCATTGTGTACTCTTGGCCAAGCTGCCCTGCACTCTGCCATCTTTCAAGCTTCAATCTCTACATCTGTAACACTGGTATGATACCACCTATTCCCAAGGTTGTGGTGGGGAACATCACCAGATGATGCCCTGCTCAGAGCCTGGCATAGCCTAGGTGCTCAGGAATCATGTGGAGAATCAGGGCCCCTTCCAGTTCTCTGTTCCTCTGATCCTTCCAGGGATCATGGGGCCTGAAGGGGCTATTCAGCTAAATGAATTAAGATCAATCATCACCAAGAAAAAAAAAAAAAACCCAAAGCGCCTATGGTGTAGCCCCATACTCACGCTCAGAGCCCTTGGTGTAGAACTGCTTGACAGAGTCATAGAGGCCGATGCGGACAGAGGCAAAGCTCATCTGGCGCTGCAGGCCAGCAACCAGCCCATTATAGAGGCTGCGGGGCCCCTCAGTGCGCACCATGGTGAGGATGGTGCCCAACACACCACGGTACTGGGCACCGGCCGCAGTGCGCACTGGCCCCTGACTTTCTCCTTGGATCTGCAAGGCCAAGACAGGGCGATTATAGGGATAAGCAGGTTGCCCTCCCCACCTACCATCCCAATGCTCCTAAGTTTACAGTCCCAAACACCTCATTGGCCCTTGAGGAGTCTGTGTAGACTAGAGGCCATCAGGACTCCCAGGCTTCATCCCCTCACCTGCAGCCGGACTTTAGCAGTATCCAGGGGAAAGGTGATGAGATCTGCAATGCAGGCGGCTGTGCCAGCCCCTAGGAACTTGACAGTGGCAGTAGGGGGTACATCTGTAGCCTTGAACCCAACCATGATGCTGATTTCCTGCTACCTCCCAGGAGATGGAGAAAAGTTGGAGAAATGGGCACCCTCAATCAGCAACAAGACGAGATAGAGGAACTCTGCCGGAGTCTAACAAGGGTAGAGAGAGAAGCCCCATCAGCAACAGTGTCTCCAGGCCCTCTCTGCTCACCACCCCCACCTGCGCTTTCTCTGATATCTCCATGTCCCCAAGCAGGACTCAAAGTGGCCCTCTGAGGGAAAATAGGAGTGAGCTCCAGCAGTACTCAAGTAGGGGCTAGAGAAGCAATTCCTGCTCAAGGAGTCCATATTTTGTGAAGGGCTTCTTCCCTTTCACTGTAGGGAGAATCTGGATCAGGGCGATCCTGGTGCTGCCTCACAAATAGCTGCAAGACCAGCTGGGTGCAGATTTCCCTGATGATGCCCACATTCCTGTTTCTTTGGACATATCTGGAGGGCTGACAGAAGGGGAGAAAGGTTTCAGGCACACCAAGACCCGACAGGCACAGACCCACAGCCTCATGTTCTGCATTACTAAGTAGGAACAGCTCTCATGGGTCTGGAATTATTTAAGTCAAGAAGGAAAAGGAAGGCCGGGCGCGGTGGCTCACGCCTGTAATCCTAGCACTCTGGGAGGCCAAGGCGGGTGGATTGTTTGAGCTCAGGAGTTCGAAACCAGCTCTGAGCAAGAGCGAGACCCCGTCTCTACTAAAAATAGAAAGAAATTAATCAGACAACTAAAAATATATAGAAAAAATTAGCCGGGCATGGTGGCGCATGCCTGTAGTCCCAGCTACTTGGGAGGCTGAGGCAGAAGGATCGCTTGAGCCCAGGAGTTTGAGGTTGCTGTGAGCTAGGCTGACGCCACAGCACTCACTCTAGCCCGGGCAAAAGAGTGAGACTCTGTCTCGGGAAAAAAAAAAGAAGGAAAAGAAAGGACAAGATGCCTCCCAGCCCATCAGTAATTCTCTCCCCAGCCACTACGCAGCTCAGGCTCTCTAGAGTCATTCTTTCAACAAGATTGCTTTGCTGGGCACTGGTTCACTGAGACACAGGAGACATTATCTACCCTGCAGGGGACTTACTGTGAGGTACAGGGGGTGGGCAGGTGATCCAAGCTGCATTTGAGGCTTGCAGGACATACTCTCAAAATGCAGAGAAGGGAACAACTAATTCCATTGGGAGAGAGTTAACGAAGGGTGGGTGATCAGAAAAGATTTCTTAGACAAGGTTAACATTTAGCTGGGTCTTAAATAATGCTAGGTGATTCTCAGGGTGCAGAGTAAACACTGAGGCACCAACTCCTTTTGGCCTACCATCTGATGCAGTGAAAACTGCTCTCACTGTTTGGCTGGTTTCCTTTCCTCCAGCATAGGGGGATCCACATCTTCACCATAAGAGAGGTAGGGATGGGGAGCTGCAGGTCAGAGCTATGAAGAGTAATACAGGAAACCAAATCTCCATTTTATTCTCAGAGTTAGAGAACAACACTATCCTCCACTGCCCCGGGAGGAAGTGAGCCCAGCACCTCAGTCAGGGAGGATGACCTGCTCCTTCCCCTGAGCTTACTTCTCAGACTTCATAGAACAGCTGCTCTGAGCCTGGCCTGATTGGCTGCCCCTGTTGCTGAGGCTCAGGAGGGCAGAGCTGGCCAGGGGAGGGAGGATGTGGTAGGAATCAATTATGAATACACAGACCCATGGAAACAAACAGCTCACCAGCTTCTTCCTCCTAGGCCGCTCACCCCAGGTGGCTGGGGCAAACAGGGAAATCAAGACGATACTCACCATAGCAACTACATTGGGACCTCCTATAGGGCAAGACCTGATCTTATTCATTTCCCTGGAGCCTGGCCCACCTGAGGCTTCATGAAGACATGCTCAAATGGTAGAACAGGTCAATGAAGGTGCTTCCAGACTCCCCAGCTTGGCTGATCTGACACTCCTTCCCCCAGGAGGTGCTCCACACTTTTCCCCACCCCACTGCCCAGGGCACTCTTATTAGCTCACTTAATCCTCCACCCGGTGAGGTGGCTGCCCTTATTTCCCTGTTAGATGAGAGAACTTAGTAAGGGCCATGTCTACATGATCCCAAACTTATGATATTTGCTTTACACTGCTACCCAACTCCTCAGTTCTTTCCTGCAGTTTTCTCAGCCCCAGGCTGAGAAAGGCACGACAGAGCCTTTCATAAAGGAAAATTCTCTCATGCCAATTAAACAGCAAACTCTCCCACACCAAGTAAATAGTTCTAAGAAAGTTCAGGCAAATGATGTCTCTTCTTTGGGCATCAGAGATATGATGACATGAGTTTATCATGTGTCTGAACTTGAGCTGGGTTGCAGGGTGTTGTGAAGGCCAAAGAATAAGACCCAGCTGTTGCTCAGCTTGAAGACAAGTGCACAGGGGCTCAGTTGCCACTGTGAATGTTGCCTTGATTTTGCAAAAAGTCATATGGTTCAGAGGAGTGGGAAAGGGGGCAAAGGTCACATATGCTAAATAAAACACAGGGCTAGAAAAGGTTAATCATATTTTATAGTTCCCAAATAACTAGTTTCAGAGCCCAAAAAGTACACCTGATTACTAATCTCAGTCTCAGGGACAATCAAAAGCTGGAGTCAACAATATGAAGCTAGAACCACAGGTTCCTGTCCTAGCTCTGCTGCCGAGCCCAGGTTGGCCTGGGGCCAATCACTGTTCCAACCAGGGCCTCAGGTTCCTCCTTTATAAAATGGGGACCACCATCCTTGGCTTGTCAGGGTCAGCTAAAGGCCAGGAATGTATGAAAGCGCTTTGTGAACCGTGAAGAGCCACTTCACTGGGGTGGTGGTGGTGGTTATTTTTCTTAATGTCCTGCTGACTCCTGCCCTTAGACCACAGGGCTAGGAGGCAGTAAGACACCTCTCCCTTAGACTGGACTCTTACCCGGCTTTGTAAGGTCTCACGCCGAGGCCTGCAAGATCAAGCTTCTCTAAAGGCGTCCCATTCTTCAAAGCTGCCAGTGGCTATCATGGCCCGATTCCCTTGGTTTTCCATAGAAAATGGCTGGGAGACGAAACACCTAATGGTCATACTATGTGTCCTGTGGGGAAGGGCAAAGGAGGAGAGTTTAGAAAGCGAAGTCCGCCTTAAAGGACTAACTCCAGCAAGGAAAGGGGCACGTGCCCACGACACACAAGCCCAATCAGTCCTGGCCTTGGTGGGAGGTGGGGAACAGGGCCCATCTCACCCAGGAGTCCTCCCTCCCCTGTCTGCTTAGTATCACGAATTGGGCCTCTTCTAGGCTTCTGCTCTTGCAACACTCAGTACTCTAGATAAGCATCCCCATCGCAGTCATCAGACTTTGGTGAGTGGGAGAGCTGTGAGGGGGTCCTGAGGGGACAAAGATCTGGGAGTCGGCTAGGGCCCGGACCGAGCTTCGGGGAGTGTGTTGGGGCAGGGTGCGAGCCCTGCAAAGGCCACAAAGAGCAGCTCAAAGTCACTTTCTAGCAGAAACGGCCCCAGGAAAGGCGCTGGGGGCACACGGCCTGGCGCCGTCTGGGAGGGAAAGGTCATTACGGTTATCGCTGACGCGCCGAAGGCCCCCACCCAAGGCGGGACTGGGCATCGCGGTGAGGCGAGGGAGTGGAAGGGTGGAGGCTCAAGTTACAGCAAATTGAACGCGAGAGGGAAAGAACAAAAGGGAGTGAGAGAAAGGGAGAAGAGAGACAAAGAAAAAGAACCAAGGACAGAGAGGAAATGTACAAACTAGGTTAGAATAGAAGGAAAATTAAAGAGCGGGAAGCACGCAGCTTCGCGCGACTAGGGTAGTGGGCGCGGGGCCGGACTCACCGGACCGCAGGGAGAACAGGAGAGTGCGCGCGGCTCTGAGTGGCGGCGGGCGGAGGGCGCGTGGAGGGAGCGTGGACAGTAATCGATCCGAAGGCGCCCGCGGTAGCGCGAATGAGAACCCGGGGGCGGGGCCTGCCGGCTCCCACGTGGGGTGACTGGACCCTCGAGCCACCGCCTTTCCGCAGGGACCGCCCCGCCTAGGGTTCTCGCTGTGCCCTTCTCCACTCCCATTTTCGTGCGGACGCATTCACCGCGTTTACCCCTTGGTTTCCCCAGATGGCCACCCCCTCGGCCCTCCCCACCTCTGCCTCACAGACTCTCCCGGTCCGCCAACCCCACTGTGAGAATGGCAAGACTGATGCCCAGAAAGAAGCAGGTTTGTCCAGGGTCACACACGCTTCATCCTCCAAGCCAGGGCGCTAACAGCGTCACAGAGACCAGGCCGGGTATAAGCGCACGCCCTCCTTCATGGGCCCAGCCCGCGAGCCCTGCCCTGGGCAAGCCACCCTGGAGAGAGCGCGGGATCCCGCGGGGTGGGGCGGGGCCTCCCCACCGGCCTCGCAGTCCATTGGCTAAAGCTGCCGCGTTACCAAGGAAGGAACCAATCCGCACTGCAGCGGCAGGTGGCCCGGCAACCAGCAACGGCCGCTGGGCGCAGCTCGGGTTCCCGCCTTCGCCCGCCGCCCACCGGCCTCCCTCTTAGGGACCGGACACTTCATTCCCGGGCGGGGCGCGGGCACCAAGCGTGGCCTCTTGCTCCCACACACGGACTAGCAAACTGGCCGGGACCCGGAAGTGAGCGGGCAGAGCAGGGCCCAGGCCAGCTGTGTGTACAGACCCCGGATGATAAAGGAGATGGGGGGAGGGGGCCTGGTTTGCCCTTAAGTGGCTGATGGTCTGTGGGGATCAGGGACGCGTAAACAACCAATAATTGGGCCCTGTGGCCGGGACAAACACATACATTTGGGGAGTCGAAGAAAGAAGACTGGTGTTAGCTTCTATTTTACAGTTGAGGAAAACAGAGTTCCAAAGAGTGTAACCAGCTACATAAGCAAGAAAGCATTTTTTATAGTGTTTTTTTTTTTTTTAGTTCTCTTATGTTTCAAGTTCCCAGGCCAGTAAGATTTGCTGACCAGAACTTTGTAACTTTCTGTTCCACTGATGCATTCCCTTTTGAGTTTCTTTCCCAGAAATGGCGGAGCCTCCTTAGAGTCAGGAGATAACCACAAAGCCTTACACCACCCGTTTGTCGGGAAAAGACAAGATAAGCGAGTCTCCACCACAGTTTGTGCTCAAGGTCCCACAGAGCAGACGTACAAGGCTGAAAGAATGACCAGTATTAACCCCTAGCTCATTATAACACTAAAATCCCCACCCTAGGACTTACATGCCATTTTTAAATCATGGGACCAGCGAGCTAAAATAAAATTTTAAGGCTCACCCCCTGCCCCACACGGGCTGACTGAATGAATCCCCTCCTGGCTGCAGGTCCTCAATTTACATGTCAAATAAATATATGTCCAGTGGTTTATCTCACATCGAATAAATATCTGTCCAGCGGTTTATCGCTCATAAACAGCTCCTTATGTTAAAACATTCCAAACCGGCCAGGCGTGGTGGCTCACGCCTGTAATCCTCGCACTCTGGGAGGCCGAGGTGGGCGGATCGTTTGAGTTCAGGAGTTCGAGACCAGCCTGAGCAAGAGCGAGACCCCGTCTCTACCAAAAATAGAAAGAAATTAATTGGACAGCTAAAAATATATAGAAAAAATTAGCCGGGCATGGTGGCGCATGCCTGTAGTCCCAGCTACTCGGGAGGCTGAGGCAGAAGGATCGCTCGAGCCCAGGAGTTTGAGGTTGCTGTGAGCTAGGATGACACCACGGCACTCTAGCCCAGGCAACAGAGTGAGACTCTGTCTCAAAAAAAAAAAAAAAAAAAAAAAAAAATCCAAACCTTTAGACAAAGCTTCATGTCTCTAACCAATTACAAGCCAAAGAATCTTTAAACCCACCTATAACCTGTAAGCGCCCCCCCTTCGAGATGGCCCACCTTTTCGGGCCAACACAATGTATACCTCCCACATACTGATTTATGTCTTTACCTGTAACCCCTGTCTCCCTGAAATGTGTAAAACCAAACTGTAACCCAGCCATAACAAGTCCACTTGCTCAAGGCTTCTTGGGTGTGGCTCCAGGTCATGGTCCTCAAATTTGGCTCAGAGTAAATCTCTTTAAAATTATTTTAGAGTTTGGCTTTTTTTTCTGTTGACAGACCTATGCACTAGCATGATTTCTCACTGATCTTGCGTGCCCTGCACTCCATCGCAAACATAGTGATGCTCGCTCCCCTCATATAATATTCATTTCACATCCAGAAACCCCCCTGACCCTGTTAATAGGAGAAGCAGATTTGAGGCAGTCCATATCTTCCCCTCCTAGTAGATGAGTTCACTGTAATAAATCCTTCCTTGACAATCCTTGTCTCAGTAATTGGCTTTCTGTGCAGCCAGCAACAGTAAACCCCTCTTGTGGGTTCATTAACAAGAAGTTAAATCACCTGCATAATGTCACACAGTGGTGAGCCCTGACTTAAATCAGGTCCTGGAGCCATGGGTGTGTTTTCACAGGTAGAAGGAATTGTCAGGGAACAGCTGAGGGGTCCATACCTGGAGTGAGACTGGATAATTATAGCAGGAAAGAAAAACACACTGAGTGCATAGTCCTGGCAGAAGTAGAACGGAAGCTAAGAAGTCAAAGCAGATTATTAATATTTCTGGCATGTGGAATCTCCCATCCATCCACTAGCTGGTCTAGCTTTTGCACAGGAGCTTCTGTCTCTGGCTGTGATGAACTGATTACCAGGATGCTTGACAAATTTGTGGTGAGGTTGCTGAACTTGTCAGTGATCTTTGAGGAAATGAACAGGGTGGATCCAAAGGCCTGCAAATTAAAGTATCACCTTGTCTGTTAAAACAGGGAAGAATCTCAAAGGAAAAAAAGTCATTCTGTAATAAAGACATCTACACTGAAATGCTCATAGCAGCACAATTCACAATTGCAAAGATGTGGAAATAACCCAGGTGCCCATCAATACATGAGTGGATTAATAAAATGTGGTATAAGTATACCATGGAGTTCTGAAGTGGAAAATTGGAAAATTCCACTAAAGTGGAAAATCCCACTACCAGGTTTCCTCCCTTACAACCTTTCCCTGGGCCTCCTCCCCTGCAACTTCCCCTGCCCCCCACAGCTGCCGCCCTCATAAATCACCTGTAGCAATTAGAGTACCAGGCCTGAAGTAGCTTAGGATTCTGCCTCACTAAAGTTAACCCTGCTGTAACCATGCCCCTCCTCCTTAAGCAGAGTGTATAAAAGACTGCTATGCTCTTTGTCTGGTACTCAGAATTTGGGGAGAGCAAATTCCCCTCTGAGTCTTGCAAGTAAAACCTGTTTTTGCCAAATCTCTGTGTGCTATTCGTTGTGTTCTTGGTCAGCTCTGCTGCAACAGTACTAATCAGCCATAGCAAACAATGGTGAATTAATACCTCTTGTATTATCCTGGGTGGAGCTAGGGCCCATTCTTCGAAGTGAAGTATCACAAGAATGGAAAAACAAGCACCACATGTGCTCACCATCAAATTGGTATTAACTGATCAACACTTCTGTGCACACATGGAAGTAACATGCATTGGGTGCCAGGCAGCTGGGAGGTGGGTGGACAGGATGGGTAAATTTACAACTAATGGGTGTGGAGAGCACTGTCTGGGGGATGGGCACGCTTGTAGCTCTGGCTTGGGCAGTGCAAAGGCATTATATGTAACCGAAGTGTTTGTACCCCCATAATATTCTGAAATTTAAAAATGAATTTAAAAAAAACCTGCAAAAAAAAACAAAAACAAAAACAGGTGTCAACGGAAAAAAAGACCAAACTCTGTAATTTTAAAGAGATTTACTCTGAGCCAAATTTGAGGACTACGACCCGGAGCCATGCCCAAGAGGCCTTGAGCAAGTGGACTCGCTGAGGTTGGGTTACAGTTTGGTTTTACACATTTCAGGGAGGCTGGGGTTACAGGTAAAATCATAAATTAATACATGGGAGGCATACATTGGTTTGGCCCAAAAAGGTGGGCCATCTCGAAGCAGGGGCTTACAGGTTATAGGTAGGTTAAAAGATTCTTTGGCCTGTAATTGGTTAAAGGCATGAAGCTTTGTCTAAATCTTGGAATGTTTTAACTTAAGGAGCTCTTTATCAGAGATAAGCCACTGGACATAGATTTGTTGTGTAAATTGAGGACCTGCAGGTTTGTCTTGCATACCCTTAGGCCTGTTAATTGGTTACAAAGGATGTC